TAAGGGGTTGATTTTTTCCTTTGCACTTAGCAAATAACTAGTGAAAATATACTTTGTCATTATTGCAAACATCCTTCATTCCAAGAACCTTTTTAAGTAATGGTTTTAGTTTGTAACTAGAAACAAGTATGTCATTAAGAATTGATGAGTAGTAATTTTCTAATTCTATTATTCCTTTCCCTTTCATTAGCTATTGTTATTCTGTAAAGAGGAGTTTTCCCTCATTAACTGAGAATGGCTTAGAGTTCCTCCAAAAAGTCAAAGTAAATGCTGTATTCTTTATCTTTAATTTCCATTTTCACAGTAAAGAGTATATGTAATTGTCATCTTTATTTGACGCAAATTAGATTTCTCTCTCTCTCAGCATGGACTCATGTATTTTTATTTCTAAAATTTTAGAATCAATTATTGACTATTTAATTGGTTGATTCTCAATATGTCCTCCACTTGGCCTTTGAGAGCTCCTTCCAGCTGGGTGCTTTAAGACGCTGTCATTATTCTTTGAAATGAAATGTTTTTCCTGGATCTCTTTCCACAGCTGAGACCATGTATCTGTCTCACTTGGTACAAACAGCAGCTTCCTTTTTTACTATCCCAGCAGCACCTCCATCTGAACGGATCATCTACTACTTCCTAGACTGTGCCATTCAATAAATTTACTGCTCTCCCCATCCCTAGAAGAACCCCATCCGTCAAGAAGAACACCTGAAAATTCAAACAAAATCATATAAGAGGGCCACCTCCCCTTTAATGTCTTATGAGTTTTCATCTCCTACCTTGCATAGTAGTCATTGGGTGGAACTGCTTCTTGAAAGAACTGGAACTGGTATAAATAAAGTCCAATCAAGTGTCCCGCGGTGAAAATAGCCAAGAGAACACAGAGACAGCTGAACAGCAATGGGTCGAATGTCCGGCACCAGGACCACCAGGTGCACAGACCCAAAAACACAAAAAAGTAGACAGATGAGGTCAAAGATGGCAGCATCATACCTAAGGAAGAAGAAATACAATCATGAAAAACTGCATTGAACTAAAAATCATTTACGACTCAGTAACTGCAAGTATTAGAGATTATATAAATTTCCTCCCCATGGGTTTTTAGGTATTGATCAGGTTTTTAAAATAATCACTTTTTATTTATAAAATCAGAATCAATGCTATTTTTATTATGAAAAAAGTCATACACGAAGTGATATTTGTAAATATGGGGAAATACCAGATGAGGAAGAAATTCTACCTATGGTATTTGAGCAGAGTAAACAGCTAATCTTCACACCAGCAGAATATAGCATACTTAATTGCCTGTTTCCATCTTCTGTTTCTCCCTACAAATTTTCAGGAATACTGTATGTCCCTTCCAACTTTCCTGATACCACTTTTAAAATAATGATTTACCTTGTTTTTTAGTTAACTAGGATTCATAATAATATTACATTCTGTGGCAGTTAAAGTTTCACTAACATGTTTTCCTACCAAAAGAAACCAGATTTGCACTATCACCAAAAAGGGAAATGTAAAACGAGGCAATTCCTTTACAGGCATTAAAAACCTTTCAGGGGAAGGGGGGCGGGGGATGGATTTTGAAATGACTCCTCATTAAAATATTGGGCTATATATCTTGAGAAATTCTATTCTTTTTCCACTTTTTTTATTTTCCCATTAACAAACAGTTATGTTGTTTCATCTTGTGAAATTTCAACGAGGTAGTATTGAATAAACTTCCCAGTAGCTCTAGAGCATAGAATGTTGGGGGGTGGGGGGGGGTTGAAGGGAAGAGAAACTGATATAACATAATTATGGTATCAGCAGTCTATAGCCAAAATTTAAAGGAAGTGAGTGTCTGTGCTGGAAGATTGTAATGTAACTTAGGAAGAAAAACAGTAAATCCTGGAGAGTTAAGTTATGATTACTGATGAATCAATGTATATAGACAGGCTCTCAGAGGCACCTGTACACTAAAATTATTCATTGTCCCAGGCCACCATTCACAGGCTCTGAGGAAGAATGGTTGTTTTTCTGACCTACACATAGAAAATGATGTCACGTAACAGAGAAAACGATTGCTTTACAGAAGTTAACAGAAACTATCTAAAATATAAAAACTAGAACTGCACAGGAAAAATGACTTGCATGTGTGTGGTTTGTACATGTGGCCTCTTTTTACAAAAGCTCCAGCTATTATATTGGTGTCATGGAATAGAATTATTTCCTTCTTTATTTTCTCTTCCACCATTTCTTTCATGATTCGCCAGAGTCATTTGTGCTCCACCCAGGACTGGAAAGTCTCACCTGATGAACCCAGTAAAATCGTCACAACTACTTTTCCAGCGGTGGTTATCATGTTGCCAATAAACTCCTTAAGCTTGGAAGCCACAAAGGCAAACCTGCGGAAGATTTTCAGTTTTGTGCTTTCTTCCATCTCGCCTTCAACACCATCTCCTTCATCTAAGCCCTCCTCATAGATCAGTGCCTCTTCTGGATCGAGTTTTTCTCCTCCAGCCTAAATAAAAACAAACAAACAAAAGCAAAACAGAAAACACTGTAGTCCAAAACTCTGCCTATCCACCCAGCAGATGACATAGTTTGTAATTTATGGGTCAGAGAATGCGGTGATTTCACAAATCTGGGAAAAGACGCAGAGAACCACTTACATCCCTGCCAGAGCTCTGATAATTCCTGAGGAGCTCTAATCTCCTCTGGAGAAGTAACCAGGAAATATCACTATTCATAGGCCCCTAATAGCATGTCATCTTACCTACATCAGCTCATCTTTTATGGGTGGAACAAGAAACTGTCCGAAACATCTTTTAATAATCTTAGCTTTCATCAATCTGCATTTGGTTCTGCAAATTCAGAGACTTTGCCAGCAAGGTGATGGGAGGTTGAAGTACCCGTGGCTTTAACGGAAAGGGTGAGTTACATCGCTACGTACAAAATCCTTTTTCTCCAGAAGTTTACCTTTGTTCACTATTTTAGTATTTCCTGACCACGGGAGGATGAGTGGTCTTGGGCTACTTGGCTAAATATATAGTCACTGCCTACCTTATTCTTAGAGAATGATACACTGGTTCAATTCTGGACAACCCAGCACCGCAGTACAATCATTCGAGATTTCGGGAAGAAACACATGCGCAGAATATAAATATATTTCCATGCATTATTTTAAACTAGGTATATGAGGGTCTTTTTATTTGTCTTATTTGTAAAGACTGCATAGGAATTTTTTATTTTTTATTTTTTGGCAAATTAGAATCTTTCGCTAGAAGAGTTAGGGTTTTCGTAGAGGAATTATAATATAAACCATCACGTTAAGACAAAAGGAGGCTGTTTCAGACTTTTGAAACTTCGTTTGCATGTGCCCCTGGGCTGACAGGCTTCCTGCTCTTAGCCAGGTTGGCTCTAGACGCGGGCTGCGGAGCCAGCGGGGTTTTTAGGCCCAGTTCACAGGTCTATTTAAGGCTTAAAGAGCAGAGCATGGCCTCTCCATTTTCCCGTTTTAAAGGTCTTTCTTTGATACACTCAGTGTAGATATTTACATAATGTTCACTCATGGTATCTGGACCTCTAACTATGTCCGGATTCACTGGCACTGGGCACAAGTCCACTCAGCACTTGAACTTTATCTGCACCTAGATAAAGTTCAAGTGCTGAGTGGACTTGAGGACGGAGGGATCCTCTGTTTGCCTAGGAGAGTACAACCACTTGCATCTTAAGTTGGTTGCTAATGTACCCCACCACACATGGGAACGCATGCATGCACACGCATGCACACACACACACACACACATTTAATTCCAGGCCTATTCAAGTTTATACACCCAAATCTGGTTTTATCATATTCCATCATGGCACATCTGTATCTTTTCCCGAAGGAAAAGTAATTTCTTATGCTTATTCATTAAGATTTTTCTATCTGTTCAAGGCCTATTGTGTGCTAGTATCTCTAGTGAAAGATGAAGCAATAAACATGCAAATAAGTAAAAAATAAACAACCTAAATATCTCACAGTGATATATGCTAATCAGAGAATTAAAATAGGGCGGTGTGATTGTGAGTGATAGGGTGGCTATTTTAGATTCTGAGGTCAGGGGAGCCTCTCTGAGGAGGTGACATTTAAGCTAAGATTTGAACGTCACAATGTCACAAGCCACGTGAGAAACCCTAGGTAAGAGCATGCCAAGCAGAGGAAAGAGCTGGTCAAGGTCCATGGTGTGTTCAGAAAGAAGGCATATGTTCCCCGACCTACTTCTCCCCACCTCCTTATCCTTCCCCTTGTCAGCTGATGACCCTACTTCCTACTGTACTGAGAGAAGAGGGGTGAGCTCAGGTTAGTTCATCAGCCTACCTATCTAAAGCCCAGCAATTCCACTTCCCAGTATTTATCCAAAGAAAATAAGAACACTAATTCAAAAAGATGTATGCACTCCTATGTTCACTGTAGCATTATTTATAACTAGAGGCTCAGTGCATGAATTCATGCATGGGTGGGGTCCAGCTGGCCTGGCCCCAATCGGTGGATCGGGCCAGGCCTGTCAGGAGGAGGAGACAGCGGGATGTTGGCCGGCCAGCCCGCCCTGATCCGGCCAATTAGGGCCTGGCCAGCTGGGGGGAGAGGCTGCGGGCAATTGGTCGGCAGGCCCCACCCCCGATTGTAGTTGGAGGGGTGGTTGGGGGCAGGGTCAGCTGTGGGGAAGGGCTGTGGGTGGTGGGTCAGCTGCCCCACCCCCGATTGGTGGGGGGGCTTGATTGGGGGCAGAGGTGGCTAGGGGAAGGGGCCGTGGGCCGATCAGGGTCATGGGGGCTGATTGGGGCTGGGCTGATCAAGGGCAGGGCTGGCCGGGGGTAAGGGCCATGGGATGTTGACCGGCCTGCCCCACCCCCTGATTGGGCCGGTTCTCTGGCTGCAGTGGGCGTTATAGTGACTGGTCATTCTGGTCATTATGGCTTTCCAGTCACTGGCTTTTTATATATATAAAAGATAGCCAAGATATGGAAGCTACCCAATGTCAATCAATAGATGATAGATAAATAAATTGATAGATGATAGATAGATAATATCCCACATACACCCAATGAAATATTACACAGAAATAAAAAAATGAAATCTTGCCATTTGTGACAACATGGATGGATCTAGAGGGTATTATGTTAGGTGAAATAAGTCAGGCAAAGAAAGATAAATATCATATGGTTTCACTTACATATGGAATCTAAAAAACACACATAAAACCAACCAACAAATAAAGCAACAGTAGACTGATAGAAACAGAGACCAAAGGGTTGGTTACCAGAAGGCAATTGGTGGGGGATGGGTGAACAGGTGAATGGGTCTAGAGTCAATAATATTGTGATAAGTTGGCTTGGTGACAGGTGATCACTAGAATTAGTGGGGTGACAACATTATAAGGTATAAAAATGTCAAATCACTATATTGTACACTGAAACTACTATAACCAATATAGTATTCTATACCAACTATACTTAAAAAATAAAAATAAAGCCCACCTGTGGAGCAGACACTCAGATCCCTCCCTCCTGTGGCTGTGGATGAGCTGTACATGCTGGGACACCAAAGGGGACAGCCCCGGCCAGGCTCCCCTCTCCCCTGCATCACCATGTGCCCCCTTTCTCCTGGGTCACACCATCAGCAAGTCCACATGCCTCACCAGCTCCCCTTAGAAAAACACATTCCCGCCAACCCACATTTGCCTTACAAAGAAACACTAAGACTTAGCTCCTTCCCCCACACTTCACTTCTCTGGAACCCGCCTAGCAGGATTTTGATTACCAACCACTCCACCTCACGAGGGGTTTGATGATCTATTTCACAAGGGAATCCCAAGGGAGGTTACTGCTGTGGTTGAGGAGAGGGGAGTTATGGAGCTGAAGAGAGTTTTTGCAGTGTCTTTGCAGTGTGTCTTGGAGTTCCAGTCAGCGGGAATGTAAGCTAATGTAGATGGAGGAGGGATAGAGGGGGATCAAAGATAGTTCCAATAGTTTTGTCTTTATGGATGAGATGGGACAATAATGAGTGGGTTGGGGAAATTCAACTCTGAGATGCCTTTCAGCCGTCCTGTTGGAGGTGTCAGTGGACAGCTAGTATAGCAATATGGAGAGCTGGAGAGGGCAAAGCAGGAGACGTTTATTCGAGGTTCACTGGCATGTGGATGGCTTTAAAGTCAGGGGTCTGATGAGGTTTCAGAGTTGCTGCCCCACCCTGGAACCAGTCTGTCCATCCAACCTTATCCTCATCTCTTTGCTGAGAAACATCACCTGCAGTAAATCATGTGTGTGTGTGTGTGTGTGTGGTGGGGTGTTGACTCCGAATCCACAGCTCCTTGCCTTGGGCCATGCTGTTCCCCTCTCAGCTCTAAGGCCCCAGCTCACATGCCAGCTCTTCCTCCCACCTGCTTGTCTTTCCCAAGCAGAGTTAAGGGGGGAAAGGGGGTCAATCCAGTGACACTGTTGCTATGGCAACCACACCACCATCCACACATAAAGGATCTGCTCATGGGGCTCCTGCTGCTTAATATTCCCTCACAGCAGGTGAGCAATGCATTAAAAATCCTCCTGGATGAAGGAAACCTGGCCAAAACCTTCAGTCACTGCACTTGAAAAAGGAGACAGAGAGAGAGAACATAGCCAGAGCTGCCTGGGTCACAGTTAGAAACACACTCATAACTTTCATAATAAATGACTTATTATTCAATTATAGAATTGCTACGGATGTAGATTAAATCGAGTCAAAATCTCTGGTCAAGAACTTTGTGAGGTTAAACAAATGCATTTCCCCGACCTCTCTTAGGCGGGACTGGGGCCCCTGCGAGTTTTATAAACATACCACTGTATTTGAGGTTTTTCGGCATTTTTGTATCAAAATCCCTGAGGCCCTCTGTTGGAAATGCTTTCTAAAGCTTTCAAGCTGAGAGAGCCGAAAGTGATCTGTGTTTGACTTTGTGAGCCCCTACCGTCCAAGCTGTGGCCAGCACTGCCATTAGTCACATCATCTGGCTTATTAACAGGCGGGCTTTCTTCCCCTAAATGATTCCCTGGGTGCACTGTAAACACTGCCGCTCCGCAGAGCACTGGCCCGCTCCCACCTATTTACTAACAAGCCGCCATGCTGGTCACGGTTGTAATCTGTCCCTTCATTTGAATACAACTTGATTCTGGCCTTGGAGAAGGGGTAGCTATAAATACTGATTTAGTTCCCCTGGTTCCTATGCTGTCTTAGAAACTACAGACCAGCAGAACCCTTTATAGTTTAAAAAGCCACATAAAATATTACATATCATGATTGACCATAAATCTAAAACTTAGCTGAAGAAATGTGAATCCTTTACCAAGCCTTCTTTAAAAGTAACTGGCTTCAAAGTGCACCCACATCGCCGAGACCGGTTTGGCTCAGTGGATAGAGCGTCGGCCTGCGGACAGAAGAGTCCCAGGTTCGATTCTGGTCAAGGGCATGTGCCTGGGTTGCGGGCACATCTGCAGTGGGAG